CTCCACCCTACGTGCGGAAACGTCAGTGCCACCTCCCCTCATCACATGAGGTTCCCCTCGGTCCAGACATGCACTTCTGTAAACTGGCATCCCTAAAGTACCCCTACCTGCCCCCTCCATAGCCCTGACAGGGATAAGTGGCTGAAAGATAGATGGATGTACCTGGAACATAGGAATTCAGTTTTCTCCCCTATTAGTACCTCATTTTATCTGCATTTTAAAATTCAGAACCCGACCTGTATCAAATACTGTACCTTTAAGTTATCCACTAATGGCTGCTATTGGCAGTGCGCCATGCCCTCAGGCAGACATTATGCTGCAGAAGACAGACAGCGTTTGTCCCCGAGTAACACAGCCAGCGAACACCGTGTTCTCGAGGCGAGCTGCTCGCAGGGACCAATAAGAAGGGCAGCGAATCATTTTGCAGGAACTTCCTGAATGAGTCCACAGGCAGAGGCTGACGGCCTGTTTTAGGCACTGAGGTAGCATATTATAAGCCTCCTGAAGTTTGCTGTGCCAGCAGCTCCCTGTTGTGTACACGCCGAAATTAGGTCCTGCCATTCTTCACATAAACATGGAAGTAAGACATATGAATGCAGTAACTGTAAATATCACTTCAGACAGTACAGAAAAAGAGGGAAGCTGAAGAAGAGGTGCACATACATGTGTTGAAAAAGGCCATTAAACACTCGCAGAGCTGTATATACAGTATAATGGTGGCTGATGACTTTGTGATACTAATCTCTCCATTCAAGGATGCCAAGTTTGATTATTTTACAAGTATTTCAAAAGCTATGCAGGTGCTTGAATGGAAGCGCAGCTCACATTGACGGGACAGAGACACCACAGCGCGCAGAGCAAAGGTAGGAACAGCTCCATGGCAGCACAGATTATACTTCCCCTGCAACCAAATGACAAGGAACTATCCTTCAAGGTGCCCTCTCATTTTGGAGACAGAAAGGGGGTGCTGTAAAAGGGGGGGTGGTTGGGGAGTTAGGACATTTCCGAGGGCCCCTGAGTGACAGGGGCACTAAAGATTTCAGAGCATAACTGGATCAGTCTGGGTTGGGGGTCGCAATATATGCGTCCATGGAGCCTAAAATCTATAGCAGTATCCCAGGTTCTAGTCTGCGATGGGTTGGTGCCCCATCCTGGGTTAATTCCTGCCTTGTCTCCTTTGCTTCCGGGAAAGGCTCCGGACCTCAATGACCCTCCATAGGACAAGCGGGTATAGAAAATGGTTGGATGGAGGGATATTACTTCGTTTACTGAAATAATTATAC